TAAGATTGGCGATTCCTCTGCACTTAGGGCGGCAGAACTAATTAGAGGAAGTCGTTAGACAAAAATTAATGGGAGCCCATCGTTAGCGGGAGATCGGTGCGCGCAATTGAGTTAACAGGTTCGTCTGCACGGTTAGAGAACGCTTTCGAGACGATAGATGGCGTTCGTGGCACTCGGACGCTCCTTGCGTATCTCGCACGGAAACAGCCGGTCACGCTTCACAAACTCTTACGGCATTTGTTGACTGGATGGTTGCAGTCCTTAGCAGTAATTTGATTTACAATTATGTGCCATGATTTTTTACAGCCTAGTCCTAATATGAATAAAAAAAACTAAAAGTAAATATTTAGCTTTTTGTCTCTTTGTTGTAATTGAAGGCATTGCTCATGATATGTTCAGCTTAAACTAGCAGTTTGAGTCATATTCTATTTTATTTATGCCTTATATTTACGCTTCCTATCAGCAGAATAATCCTTATACCTGTCCCGGTAGACGAGTGAAAAATGTAAGCACATTATTTTAATGTGACTTTTTAAAGTACATTGAACGCAAGAGGCAACAATTTGGTTACAACTCCGTTGAACAGCAAAAACGCTTCAATTCGTCTGAGCAACGAACTAGGAACAACAGTCCGTTTCACACTAAAAGCTACGCGCAACTTTTACTTACTTCGATTGACATAGCGTCTTTTTATGTCCCGATCGGCACGTTAATGAATTCACAGGATCGAGAACATTTGGTCGCGTACGAGACTTTGTATGATCAATAGGGCCAGTGTAATGTGACAGCGTACTACGTGCGTAACAAATAAAGTTTTAAACAATAAAAGCACGTGGAGAGGAGCTCAACAGCTACGGCCCATCGAGCTCGAGTTCAGCGTAACGTGAACTCACATGACTGTTGGATCGGCGATATGTGGTGAGCTCCTAAACACGGCGTTAGTTTACCCTTTGCAGTGTCGAATCTAGAAGTGCCCAATGCGACAAAGTCACGCAGCGCCCTCTAAATTTGAGCTGTCCTAATATAAAGCTTCGGACTGTGCCAAAACAAAAAAATAAGGCAACAGACCCCCGTCAAACGACTGAACCAGTAATAATAATAAAAAAGATAGCTCGAGCGTGGTCTTGTTTTGGAGGGGGCTCACACGCCTCGAGTAGGGGCCTTATCGCCGGGTCACGCGAGTGCGTCCAGGATCGGCGAGAGCGCGAGCCTGCGCGCGTCCGCTCGAGCCATTTCTCACGGGTTTCGCGCGACCGTCGTGATCGCGTGACACGGTCGGCGCGACTCACGGTAATGATGTCATTCCCCCCTTTGCCGCGGCGAAGGGCGCGCGCGCGCGGACGCAGTCTGGGGACGCACCCATCGATTCCCCGCCGCACCGATAGCGTGTCGGCGCCCGCACGAGGGTCCGACTCGGGCAAGACGGACAGGGGGCGCCGAGGACGGGCAGCTCTGTCATCTCGCCGCACCTCGGCATCGGGCACGCTTTACGATAGAAGCCGACATAAAAAAAAAAGAACATAGAGGCTCATAGATCTTAAGTTTGGGCAGCGCCTCTGGCGATCAAAGTCGACTATTTTTCGGTTGGGTTTTGGTTGCGCGTTTTATCGGTTTGATAGGAGACTGAAATTCGGTATTGTTTTCGCATCGCGTTCGCGTGGGACTCGTTTCCTTTCATAGTCCCACGCGAACGCTGACGCGGCACTTGCATCCAATCAGCGCTCGTGCAGGCCTCCGGGACGTGACGTCATGTGACGTGACGCGCAGGCTCGGGAGCTGTCGGAGGTGTTGCATGATCGCGTCTTCCTTATTAACGAGACACGAATAACAATGCACATATCTTAGGAACACAAGGGCGTCTTTCGCTTGTTCTATTGCTGTCCGCCACAATATGCTTCCTACCCACATCGTCAGGCTAATTACTCTTAAAAGAATGTCGGTACTTGCAAGAAGTACGAAGGGCGTCTTTTATTTTGGGAATTTTAAGCGCAATAAATGAACTTTAAAGAAAGGTTCCTTGTGTTTTCTGTTCCGCAGAGCACTCCAAGAATCAATCACGGCAACGTGTTTGCTATATGTAACTATCATCACTGTTTTTCCAAGTGTTCCTTATATAACTTTTTCATTAACTAGTTTGTGCTGATACTCGTGTATGCATGTGTCTGCGAGTGTGTGTGTGTGTGTGTGTGGGGGGGGGGGGGGGCAAGCAGACCTAGTGAGACCGGATTTTTGGTGGCTTTTGGCCTGTATCCCCGCATCTTGTAGAAATTGCTGGCAGATAATTTTGACAATTTGAAAATATTTCTAGACTAAAAAAATAACGGGCTGCATTTCTGGTGCGCTTTGCTCCTGAGTACGTCGAGTTTTCTTTAATCAAGGAGGTCAAATTCCGCCGATTAAATATTTATGCTTTCTACGAACATTTGCGAGTACGGCCCTTGGGTGCCAGGCCGTCGTGCTGTTCACGTTTGTAGGTCGCCTGACAGTGAAACCTTGCCAAGGCGCGCCCATGGCTATAAAACTGGCGACCAAACAAAGCGTTTGCCAATCACGGTGGCCAGGTTATTGCGTTCAAAGTGAGGCTGTTTAAAAAAAAAGTCTATCTAACTTAAAAAAACATAACGACATAAAAAAAAGGAAAACACGCACGGGAGATTTTACGTTTTGTTTCAGCATATGTCCGAGCACAGTCGAAGGCACGAACACGTATACAACCACAAACACACTTAATAAGAGTGCAAGCCACTGGACCGTTCCTATACATTATTGGTTTAGCGATGATAGAGTATACATAGACAAAGATGGCTAACGGTTTCGTTTTTGTCGCCATTCAACTGGTCCTATCGCCTCGTAGCGTTGGCCGCATCCAGTCTTACGTTGAAACGGAGTATGGTGCGCTCATGCACGGGGTCTCCATTTCAATTAGTTCGGAAAAGCGTCGGGGCCGTTAGACCAGCCAGTCTAACGGTCAATGCATTTCGACGCTATAGAATTTCGCCACCGAGGTCACCGTAGTTACTGCCATTGGGACACAATGGCCGCGGAGGACTGGCGCCGCACACCGGAGGTCGCAATACAAAAAGGCCACTCGTTTCAGCAAAGGCCGAGGTCCCCAGACCCCGACCAGACATTGAAGATTTTTCGCCTTACGAACGGGCAGCAGCCAGCATTCCGCGCCGGTGAGTCCCACTTCGCAATTAACGCTAACAGCGGCACCACTCCGCGAGGCTGCCCGCTTGATACCACTCGAGCAGGGGCGTAATTGCCGAGGTCCTTTCTCGCTGTGAGCTCCCTGCACTGCCTGAATCGGCTTCTTTGCGAGGGGGGAGGGGGTTGGGGGCGGCTAACGGAACAATAAGTGCGGAGTTCGGGGGGAGAACCTTTTAAAGGTGGTAGGGGAGGATGTCGCATTATGGGCGCCCCTAGATAACAGTCTAGCCGCATGCGAGGTGCTCGTTGTAAGAACTTTCTGGACTGGAGGAATGGGCTTTCTCCCGTTTTGCGTTCAGCTTATCTATCGAAACTGGCCCTAGGGAGAGCGGTTGGGAATGGCCGTTAGCGTAACCCCCCCCCCCCCCCCCCCCTCTCTTCTCTCCTCATTTATTCCTAGTTTTTTTAAAGAAGCATTTGGAGTCTCGCTTATTTCCTGTACAGGTAAGGTGTGCGCGAACTGGAAGACGAACTCTTGTTATTCAAAAAAATGTCTTCTCGATTTTCTTTTTTTACAGTTATGTCCTTTTTTTTCTTTTTAAGCGACCAATCGACCCTTTGCAAAAGTCCCAACGCGACGAATATTGGGAGTCCTCGGTACGCCCCTCCCAATGTCTCTTTTCCCGCTACCACGTGCAGGCGCAGGTTACCACGGCAACAACTTTTGAGCAGCCGAGCGGACGAGCGACGAACCAATCAGCTGCCCCTTTCTCATTTCTCTTCTTTGTACCGGCTCTTTCGTCTGCTTCACCAACGCTTTGTCGACCCTGGTCGAAACCTGCCACGATTGCGGTGCAAAATATATGGATTCGGTGACGCTTCAATACGTGAAGGTAACTTGCGACGAATAACGCATTTAAATAAGTTCACCTGTCGCGATGCCTTTACGCTGCCACAGATACGGTACGCCGCCAGCGACGTACGACTCGGCGGATGTGCGGGATGGCGGATGGATGCAACGGCTCCTGGCGGTAGCTGCCAGGACGCGCGCGCAGTCACGGAGGCGCAACGAGAAAGCGCGTGATCTGTACCGAGGGTTCCCGAAATTCCCTGCCGTCGTGGCGCTGTACGTTTTGCAACAGGTACATTAGTGCTACACACAATTGTGCGGAATGCTAAATTGGCTCTTGTTTTAATTTTATTTCTACCATTGGGTGTTCAGATGACATTCCACAATTTTAAAGTTTGGATAACAAACTTTTAACTGTAGGAAAAATGAAAGATATCCGTCATTTAGGTAGCGCTCACATGTGTTTTTTCTACGTTTTTAGTCATACATTACGATTTAAAGAAGCAACTGCATGAACAGATATTTCTGTTCATTTAATGTTTCCCCTGAAAAAAAAATCTGAATGTATTGCATTGCTGGACGACGTGGGTGTGATGCATTTTTGATCCGTCACGGCATATGCGTGCCAAATAGAGATTTGCATTGAGTCAAATTCATACTTGTTTTATTTGTTTATTAACGTAACCGACCGGCGCGAAACGATAATTGTTCCTAAAAATTAAGAATAATACTACATTAGTTCATGCAACTGTTACTTTCACCGTTTAATATATGTTGGTTCAGCGCACATGAAAAAATGTACAGGCCTACATGGCGTGTTTGCGTGGCAGCTGAAATTCTCAAAATTTTACACCGAAACGTTGTGAATCGATTCTCTAGAAGTGGGTAGACCCCACTTCTTGGCCAACGGGTAATAAGCTCATACCTCGATTAAGCTTACCGTGCAATTACGGCTGTCACGCCATTGTTTCAAACCATAGACGCAGTGTAGATTATGCAAATGACGAACATAGGTTACAAATGCCAGACCACACCCAGCAAACAAGCTAAAATAGAAACTTCTCAACAGAAGGCGAATTCACACGTGGATGACAGCCTATACTCCGTTTCTGTTTTGGTGAAATGGAATATAGGCTGTGATTCGTTTCACTTAGCTCTTTGCATCCAGATAAGCACTTCTGGTGCAAAAAGTGCGCCACAAAAAAGGGCCGCACCAAGAACTGCCGCAACAAAAACTGCCGGACATAAAATACCGCACCCAAAACTGCCGTATCAAAACCTGCCGCCCCAACAACTGCCGCACCAAAACTGCCGCACCAAAAACTACCGCACCAACAACTGCCGCACCCAAAACTACCGCACCGACAATTTTCGCACCAAAAACTGCCGCACCAAAAACTGCCGCATCAGAAACTGCCGCACCAAAAACTGCCGCACCAAAAACTGCCGCATCAGAAACTGCCGCACCAAAAACTGCCGCACCAAAAACTGCCGCATCAACAACTGCCACACCAACAACAGCCGCACCAAAACTGCCGCACCAAAAAATGCCGAACCAACAACTGCCGCACCAAAAACTACCACACCAACAACTGCCGCACCAAAAACTGCCGCACCAGAAACTACCGCACCAGAAACAGCCACACCAGAAACAGCCGCACCAGAAACTGCAGCACCACAAACTGCAGCACCAAAAACTGCAACAAGTACTGCAGCACCAAACACTGCAGCACCAAAAAACAGCAGCACCATTAACTGCAGCACAAATAACTGCAGGACCCAAAAACTTTGGCACCAAAACCTGCAACAAGAACTGCCGCACCCAAAACTGCCGCACCAGAAACTGCCGCACCAACAACTGCCGCACCAAAAACTGCCGCATCAACAACTGCCGCACCAACAACAGCCGCACCAAAACCTTCAACAAGAACTGCCGCACCCAAAACTGCCGCACCAATAACTACCACACCAACAACTGCACCACCAAAAACTGCTGCACCAGAAACTACCGCACCGGAAACAGTCGCACCAGGAACTGCAGCACCAAAAACTGCAGCACCATTAACTGCAGCACAAATAAGTGCAGCACCAAAAACTGCAGCACCGAAAACTGCAACAACAAGAACTGCAGCACCAAAAACTGCGCCACAAAAAACTGCAGCACCAAAAACTGCCGCACCGAAAACTGCCGCACCTGATTGGCAACACTTTTGGTGCTGCCATTCAGGCTGAACCAACAGTGCATGGTCACGAAGCTCTTCGTGCGTTTTCTTTCAGTAAATAACCAATCACGCACAGTGAATGTGCCAGAATCTTGCTCATTTTTTCGTGCGTGATTGGTTTAGCCGGCGATAGCGAACCGACAAAGACAACAACAGCCGTGACGATGCAATTTTGACTGTGCTTGATTGGCTCCAACGGAGTGTAGCGTCGGCTGCGGCACGATTTACAGTGGTGCAGAGTATACACTAACACACTAACACGGGGGGGGGGGGTGTTTGCAAACGCGCAGTACCGACAGCAGCGTCACCGCAGTGTCGTGACGTCAGTGAGTTGAGTTGGTTTATAGAGTTAGTCTACAGCACAACCATGCAACGCTGTTTCCTCCAAAGACGTCTGCAATTTTTTTTAGATGTTACTCTTACAAGCTAGTGTGGAGGATCACGAAGAGTGCTGCGTGTCGACTTATTCCGTTGTGATAGTTGTTTTGGATGAAACCCTCTCAGCAGTGCGAAAGACAAGAACAGAATTGCGCAACTACCCGTTTGAATAAACTGTGTTGTGATCTGTTCGTCCACACTTGAACCCACGCACATACTAAAAGTAGTTTAGAATACGAAACGCAGGGTTGCCCAAGAATGCCAGCCTTACATCGAAGTAACCGTGCAGAAATAGTGCTAAAGAACAAAGTAAGGGCTAACTGTTGCTTTTTTTAACGCTTTTTGTCAGTTTGAACTTTTTTAAGTGAGATGAAGACATTTACTGAATTTTAGAACCAAAACATTGAGAGTAATGCACGTAAAGGCTAAATGTCAAGGCTAAAAGTTGACGAACACAAATTGCTTGCAGCTCCAGCCGTCAGGGTCACCCTTTAGGCGGCGAGGGATTTACCGAGGAACGTTCGAGTTATCGAAGTTCTCGCTCTGTCGACACTTACTTTTGTTATATGTCGTTAATCACTTGAACACTTTTCTTGATGATGTTGCTCTTCCCTGGCAACAAAATTATATAAACATTAGGCAGTGGAAGCGAGTACGAAAAAGAAAGAAAAAAGCTGACGCCCACAGAGGCTGTCGAAGGGGTGCATCATGAATTTCACATCACATATTCTTATTTTTTTCCTCGAATTTTCAAAAGAAAGAGTAGACATACGTACAAATACAAAAAAAATATATCTGTGCACGGAGCGAATCTACTTAAAATACAAGGCAAAGGCGATAAGGGAAATGCAATGTACTTAGCGACCTCCGTCGCTTCTGTGGGAGGCCAAGCGGAAGATATATCGCTTTTTTTTTTTTCTTTTCTGTTGGTGCCTGAATTCTCCCCCGAGGCGTTTGGGCTTGAACCTTGAGTGAACATTGTGAATCGACACTGTACGAAACGGTTCGCGAAGTGTTCAAGCGTATGTTCAACTTACGAAGCGGTGTGCAAATCTTTACGGTGTGGAAATCTTTACGTTGTGGACATCTTTACGGTGTGAAAATCTCTACGCTGACGTCGTGTGGCGATTACAATGTACTTATTTATTTTTTTACAAAAAAACCCGCAGCACCAAAACATTTTAGCAAGTCATAGTTGAAAAAACATGAGAAAAGGGGAAAATAAAAACACGGACAAGACAACACAAGTTGCTTGTCTTTCCCCTTTTCTCAGGGATTTCAATTATGTCGTTTAACCAGCTCGCCTGCACTCTTTTCCTTCTGACGAATATAGCAGGTACAGCCGAATATAAGTAAAAGGAAACTCGTTTGTGTAACGTGAACAGGTAGCAAACCAGTAAAGTCTTGTAAATGAATACAATATAAAGTTAAAAACAAGCTATATGAAAATCGGTCTGACTTTCTCAAGTAATTGACAATCTCACGTTAATGTTTATAATGGCAAACTCAAGCAATGCCTTCCACTTAATTGGTGATTGTGAGTGAGAAAGAAATTACTATTTCTTGTAGTTGGTGCGACAAAATATTTGTTTGGTTTTCATCGTATGATTTACGTGACTTCGCACATAGTTTGGCACTTGAAACTAGCGATTATTGTTAAATCCGGCAGGTTACTGAAGATAAAATTAAAAATTTTCATGCGGAGGTTTTTTGTTTTTTTTGTTTTAAAAGAGGGATTTCTATTCAATCATCTTCTTAACATTTTCACACGGGTGTTTCTACGATAACTTCCCGATAGAAACCTTATGGCACGACTGATGTTTTTTCAGCTTATCTATAAAATACGCTTAGTGCAAGTCCAACAAAACACACGCGTATCGGTCTTACTAAGCATTAATAGGTTGTTTTCTTCAGTTTTTTGGGAGCACCAATGCAGCTTACGAATAAAAAATATTAAAGTACGGCTAGCGTTTCTAATGGACTGGCTGACATCAACATTAAAACAAAACGTTTTCGACAAATTCATCCCCATATACATTACATTAGTGCTTTGCATTGATGGGCAGTATTTCAAATACAATTATTTAAAATACGTATTTCAAATACTTTCTGTATTTTGCATTTGTATTTAATTACAAATATGGTAATGTATTTGTCCTGTGTATTTAAATACTAAAACGTGTGTATTTCAAAGACAATTGTAATTAAATACAATTTTGTGGGCGAAAATACATCCTTCAAATTTATTGTCACGACTCATTTTGGTCATCCTAAGACGTGTCCAGAGCAGGAAGAATACTACGTTCTGCGCTGAATGCAGTGTCTCTCAATCAAGCACACGCGTTTAGTGATTTTGTGATTACGGTGCTAGTCCAGGGCAAGAATAGTGACGAAATCGGCGTTCACGGGCAGATTGGCTGAATAAATGCCTGTGACAACTTGTGATGCTTTCCAGCCTGATTTCCATCCATATTTTTGCCTGGAACACTCTAAATGCGCGGGTCATCCAGATTTTCGTAACTGGTGCGAGTTGCAACAATCAAAAAATCTCTTGCTGGTGCTGCGCGTCTTGGTTGTCTCGGTTCTTTGTTGGTCTGTACCAAAATGTAATCGAGAAAAAAAGTTGCTTGAATCTCTCTACTTTTTTCACCTATTACGTCCAAGCTGATTACTTTTTTTGTGATTATATATTATATTTACCTTTATATAATTTTGTGATTATATTTATGTGATTATATTTACCTCCCACACTAACTCCGAAGTGTGCGATGCAAAATTAAAATGAGATACCCAGAAACCCGTTGCAGGTGCCCGCAAGTTTTCAGGAATGTATTTGTAAAAGTATTTGGAGGAGACCAAATACATTTGGTTGTATTTGTATCTTGTATTTAAATGCTTTTTTGGAAATGTAATTATTATATTTGTAATTAAACACATTTTTGACGAAGTATTTTGTATTTGTATTTCGATACATATTTGCATGTATTTTGCCCATCCCTGGTGCTTTGATTCAATTTATGTCTGCCAGTAAAATAACATCTTCGGATGACATCCCGTTTTACTTCAAAAGTACCGTGGACAAACTTACCAACATTACGTCCTAGTTCCCAAAACTTGCACCACTCAAAGATCCTATCTATATGTGATAATAAAAGAGCAGCACCACTAACACTGCCTGCACTGCTATATAAAACACCATCGTCTCCAGTTGTGTGCCAGTTATAGTTTCATCGTCATTTTCTTGCAGTTCTTTGTGAACACTTTGTGGTACTCGCGTCCTAGATGTGCCCATTTTCTCGCTTTTTATTGGTCTCTAGCAGAGTCTTTATTTCACTTTATTTTGTTAACCTGTAATTCATCATCCTATATTCCTCATCGCCATCTGTTCCCCTCCCTACCGAAAAATCCGGTATAACTTTTCACTATCCGGATTATGGAACCGGAAATTTGTTACTGGAAACCCGAAATCCAGATTGCAGAAAAAGGAATTATTTCTGAAAACCTAAATTCCAGATAGATTCCAGATAGATTCCAGATAAATTTCCGGTTCCATAATCCGGATAGCGAAAAGTTATACCGGATTTTTCGGTAGGGCTTCCTTTCCTTCTGCACCCATTCTCATCCAAACTGCAGTATGCCAGGCCCGCGAAACCTTTCCACAGCCAGTAAGAAAAACCTCACGTCAGTGGCTCTTTTCACACTTTCCTTATCGGTACAAAAAATAGTTGCATCATCCGCGTGCGAGAGCAGACGAACTTCACTCGCTTGTATCTATATGCTTTTATATAACTGTCGCTAATAACACCAAAACAAAAAGGCTCCAAGAAGATACAAAAAGCAGCGGCGAAAGGGGAGCTAGAACCTTGTCACACTGATGAAAAAAGGCAAATCCATTCGCTAACACGTTTACTGATAACTAAACTGGTGACGCAGTTGTGGTATGCCATGTGCACGCCATCACGCAAAAGTGGTACCAAGTTAACGAGTGCCAAAATAGAAAAAAAAATAATATTGTGGGCCACACGATCAAAGGCTTTTTTCAAGGTCTACCTGTAACAATGCAACCTTGGTTCATAGCATCACAGCATTCTAGAATGGAACACGCAACATGTACATTTGTGACGATGCTCCTCCCCTTGATGCCACGTGTTTAATGCGGACTGACTATAATATTTATAACGCTCTGTAACCGTTCTTCAAGCACTTTCATGAAAATTATGTAATCAGCATTGGTCAATGGTATAGAACGATAGGATCCTACTTGATGAAACTTCTCGTGATCTTCACACTTGAGAACTAAAATCATAAGGGTACATAGAAAGGACGGATGCAAAGCTTTAAAACTGTACGCTTCAGGGAGGAAGTGGTGCCACCAAGTCAATACATGCCCTTCGGGCTTCCTCAAATATCGCTGCGAACCCAAGATTTTCGCACCGATTTCACAGAACGTCAACACAGGGATCCAAGAACCCTCCTGCCATTCGGTGAGTGGGACAATTTGACCAACGTCGTCATACTTTTCGTCACATCAGCCAACTCCATACTAGGCTTGCTACGCCTAAAACCGTTCGGAGGCCGAGTTTGCGCCGCGAGGCCTC